AAACCCTATGTGTGTAAGCAATGCGGGAAAGCTTTTAGAAGGCACAATGAATGCAAAATACATGAAAGAACTCACACTGGGGAGAAACCCTATGTATGTAAGCAGTGTGGGAAAGCATTCAGTGTGTCTAGTGCTCGTTATAGACATGAAAGAGTTCACAGTGGGGAGAAACCATTTGTATGTAAACAGTGTGGGAAAGCCTTCAGCATGTCAAGTGCTCGTTATAGACATGAAAAAATTCACAGTGCAGAGAAGCCCTATGTGTGTAAGCAATGTGGGAAAGCATTTAGTGTACAAAATTATTGTAGAATGCATGAAAGAACTCACACTGGGGAGAAACCCTATGTATGTAAGCAATGTGGGAAAGCTTTTAGGTCCCAATACTATTGTAAAATACATGAAAGAACTCACACTGGGGAGAAGCCCTATGTATGTAAACAATGTGGGAAAGCTTTCAGTGTGCCTAGAGCTTATCAAGCACATGAAAGAACTCACACTGGGGAGAAACCCTATGTATGTAAACAATGTGGGAAAGCTTTCAGTGTGCGTGCAACTTGTCAAAGACATGAAAGAACTCACACTGGGGAGAAACCATACATGTGTAAGCAATGTGGAAAAGGTTTTAGTAAAGCTTGTTATTGTAAAAGACATGAAAGAACTCACACTTGGCATTAATTCTATGTATGAAAGCAGTCTGGGAAAGCTTTTAGCATTCCTAGAGCTTGTCAGAAACAACCTCACAATGGGGAGAAGCCTTATGTACGTAAGAAATGTTGGACTAACAGGAATCTATTGTCAAATGAAAATCTCACTGGAGAGAATATATAAATATGTATGCAGATATAACTTTTTATGTGTCTTTCAGCTTAATACTGTCTTAAGCATGGTGAATTGAAATTTTTCACTCAAGTAGTTAGTATTTATGTAGTTTTTGTTCAGTCTTTACAATTGGGAAGCATAGGCCACTAATTTTGTTAATGGCTTTTTATTGTTGGGATTTTGCCACTACCTTTGCTTAAATTCTTGGTGTGTTTATTCTATGTAACAGGAGATATCTTTATTTTATTTTATTTTTACTTTTTTATTTATTTTTATTTTTATTTTTTTGGCCGAACTGGGGATTGAACTCAGACCCTTGCGCTTGCTAGGGAAGCACTTATTCTACTGAGCCATCTCCCTGGCCCCAGGAGATATCTTTAATTTGATGCCATATTTTAAGTTATTTTCAGAGACGTGAACTTGTTTTTTCACAAAGCTAATTGTTTCTGCACAACTTGTATGACATATTTCTTATATGACAAGATAACCTGCTTATATTCCAACTTTGTATAGTATAGCATATACATAATTTTGCCTATAGAGCCAATATTATCATTTACATAAAATATTTTTTTGCTGCCCAGTCTCAGCAGGACTGAAAGGGCTCTCCCTACCACAGGACAAGTATTTGTTGCTTTTACTTATCTACAACAAGTGGAAGTACCTGCCTCATTGTGTGGCTGCTGGTGCAAAACTCTAAGAGTTGTTCTTTTTATTTCGTTCTGCGAGTTCTTTTCAAATTAGAGATACCATCTTGTTCTGGTGGATTCAACTAGGAAATTATAATCATAGATGGTAGAAGCCCAGATGGAGCAAGGGATGTTGCTGAACAGTTGAAAATGATCTTCAGGTCATACAAAATTCTTCTAAGACCATGGGAGAAAAAGTTGGGACTTGGAACTGAATATATTCATGGAATGAAGCACACCACAGGAAGCTGTATAATTATTGAGGATACTGATCTCTCACACCATAAAACAAAAGGAAGGTATCTTTGATATTGTCTCAAACTCACTACAAAGGAAGTGGAAGTGTATATGACTGGGATTTGAAAATAAAAATAATCAGCCATGCAGCCAATGTTATAACTCAGATTTTACTGAGACCAGGATCATATGATTTATTGGAAAGCTTCATATACAGAAAAGAAATTCTACAGAAGTTAATAGGAAAATGTGTTTCTAAAGGCTCTGTCTTTCAGATGGAGATGATTGTTCAAGCAAGACAAGTGAAAGGGGCCGGGGAGATGGCTCAGTGGAAGAAGCACTTCCTTGGCAAGCACAAGGGCCTGAGTTCAATCCCCAGTTCCGCGAAAAAAAAAAAAAAAAAAAAAAGGCAAATGCATTACACTATTGGTGAGGTTCCAGTATCATTTGTGGATCATGTGTATTGTGAATACAAGTTGGGAGGAAATGAAATCATCTCTTTCTAGAAAGGATTATTGACTTTTTCTGCCACATAAAAGAAAGTTACTCGTTTCTTCTTACCAAGTTCATTTCCATTGAAAAATAAAAGGACCCACCCTACTAAGTTTTATAACATGTACCCTTAGAGCATAAATCATAAGTACATAATGAGTTTTTTCCTATTAGTCCTTCAAACACAAACTTTCAGCTTGCTTGATTCTCATAACCTCATGCTATGAACAGAACTAATTACAAAAGGCTATGTAAAATTCTTTATCAGTGAGTGAGATTTTGGAGTTTTATGGGTAAAAATGTTCTCAATTTGACTTGCATTATTGTCCCCATCACAATATGCAGGGTGTGTAGATGGGAGCTTTGCATCCACTAACTACATGAAAAGGTAAGCACTAATAATTCATGTGATTCAAAATGGGCAAAAGAAAAAGACTAGCTTCCTTTCAAGAAGAAAATTTTCAGACCTATGAAAAGGATAACAATACTAATTTTAAAATTAGAAGCATTCAGAATGTCAACAAAACTATTGCAAAATTTTGCATTTACACAGTAGTAGTCAACTAACTGAACAATTATTTTGTATAAGCTGCATCAGAGACAACTGAAGATTAAAACCTAACATCCCTATATATAACTAATTTGTGCTGGGGGTATCTCTTATAAGGCTAAGGAGAGGGCTGATGAGATAGCTCAGCGGACTAAGCACCTGGTTAGGCAAGCGCAGGGACTGGGTTTGATCACCAGCACCACATGCCATGCTAGCCCCACCCCCAGGCACCAAGACCAGGTGTGATGGTGCACACCTGTAATCCCAGTGCTGAGGAGGCTGAAAACAGGAGGATCACTATGAGTCTGAGCTGTGTAGTGAGACCCTATACCAAATACATATTTTTTTTTAAAAGGCTAAAGAGATTATTTGGGACCCCATTAATGAGCAAGGGTTATAATAATTTTCCAGGCAGCTCCTGTACTCACCAAAGGGAATCCTGTCCAGTAGTTCACCCAAGACTGAATGGTCCCCATTTAATTATCTTAACAATTTGTATGACAGATGAGAATCCGATAATAACACAGCTCACAATTTTTTTTTAAATTTATTTATGTGTGTGTGTGTGGCCAGCTCAGCCCACCAGGGGGGCGGGGCTGGCTGGCATGTGGTGCTGGGGGATTGAACAGCGGTCCCTGTGCTTTGCTAAGCTTGTTCTTGTTCTAAGTAGGTGCTTTAGACCACTGAGCCATCTCACCAGCCCGACAGCTCACAATTTTGACAAATGAGTTTTTTTTTAATTATTGTACATAGATAGCTACGTATTACATTTCTAAAACCAATTTTAACATAATTTAAGTTGCCTGCTGGCAACTTGGGTGCAAGTATGTTTTTATTTTTTATGACATTTATAAGTCAACTTAAATTCCAGGAAACATCTCAAAAATTGCAAAAGGAAAAATGTTTGAGCTCAAATAAAAATAGCTGTTTACAGATTGGACAGACAAATACATATAAGACAATTTGTTTATAAAATCAGAGTACACAAATATATTTGGCCTAATTAAATTATAACAGTTTTTAAATTTGTAATTATAAATAGACTAGTCAGAACTTTTTTTTTTGGTCAATTAACAGACCTATAATAGAAAATAACTACACTTGTGAAGGCAAAGACAGTTTTTAAGATATGATAATCATAGTTGTTGGACAGTCGGGGCTGATGACACAGCCACACCGTGACTAATCCCCTCTAACCTTCAGGCTTGCGATCCTGCAACTCCCATTCACTCTCCGATTGCCCACTGACCACTCTGCCACATACCGAGTGCAGACCACTACTGCCTTGTGCTCCTGCTCCTCTGTCTGCAAGAACTCTTCCAGACCATCCAGCATTTGAGCTTTCTCTTGACTCTTAAAACCCCAGTTTTTCTCCCACTTGCAAAAGTTAGCATTAGGGCTGGAGAGATGGCTCAGTGGTCTAAAGCACCTACTTAAAACAAGCTTAGTCAAAGCATCAGGGACCGCGGTTCAATCCCCCAGCACCACATGCCAGCCAGCCCCGCCCCCTGGTGGGCTGTGCTGGCCACACACACACCACACACACACACACACACACACACACACACACACACACACACTATCTCAAATAAATAAAAAAATTTTTAAAAAAAGTTAGCATTAAATCCTTTGATTAAAAACAGATATTTAAAGAATAGGCACAGCCTCAACCCCCAGAGGACTACTTCTCCTGGCTTTTCTCTAGAACATCTTGCAGGCCAGCCACTATTCTCAAATAATTTCTTTCTACACCCAAACCTGGCCTGCTCACCCCTTAAGTAGTTAACATTATCTTTAGCAGTATGGTAATTTTTAGTCCCTTTAAAGGAAACAATTGTGCTGGGGAGATAGCTCAGCGGTCTAAGTGCCTGCCTGGCAAGTGCAAGGACCTAAGTTTGATCCTGGCACCGCATGCCACACAGGCCTGGAACACAGGATGTGCCGTGCCAGGCCCAAAACTGGGCATGGTGATACAAGCTATAATCCCAGCACTGGGGAGGCTGAAACAGGAGGATCACTAGGAATTTGAGCTGTGGAGTGAGACTATACCAAATACATAAAATGGAAACAGTTACATGTGACCATTAAAACAGCTGCGTTGGCCCCTGGGAACGTCTCAAGATGAAAGGCAGTGGTGAGAGGGAGTCAGCAAGAGAAAAGTCAGGGAGGAATCTGGCAAACTACTTACCGCTTTGTAAATTTACAGTAATGTTTTTAAAGTCCAAAGCATAGTATCAAAGTATTTTTTAATCTTACATGCCTTCACAAAAAGGAAAGTGCAGTGTGGCAAGAAAAAAATCAGAAATATGATTACTGAAAGGGAGTCTTTTCTTCTCACACTCATGGGGAGTTATTGAGACAATTTGCCCATGAGTTGTCACTCTTAGCCTCGACAGGCAAAAATAAGGACTGTCAGAAGCTAAGATTACCTCCTCACCAGCGGTGAGTCAAACCAGATTCTACAGAAGGCAGACCGGCAGACCAGCACAGACAGAGGGAAATAAGCATTTTTTTTTTAATTTGGAGTACAGAAACAGAGAGAGATGTTTGCTGCCTGGAGTGGCAAAACAAGAGTGGCAGTAGGACCTGCACTGAACATCTTCAGTTAAAGCTGAGGCCTCCTCTCTCTCTCTCTCTCTCTCTCTCTCTCTCTCTCTCTCTCTCAAAT